AATATGCAGTTACTCCAGTGTTTTTTTAATATGTATACTTATAAGATTTTAGTTTTTTTTCCTGAGGATAAGCGAATTGGGCATTATTTTTTAATCTTTTATAGAAACGGAGAAGATTTAAAACAAATTTTTAGATCTAATTTGCAATAAGATCTCCGTTCTTCGGGATAGACCAGCATAAGACAAACCCGCCAGCCTTGGTGCAAACATTCAGGAAGAGTCTTCTGACGTAACAATTGTTTTTATTTACATCAAAAAATTGTACTATTCAAGAAATCGAGTTTCTTGCATCAGGAGAATATTTGAAATGTATTAGTTTACAAGCAAAAGGAAACTAAATTTATGATAGAAGTGGTTTTGACCTTTTTGGTCCGAGAGCAGAGTCAAATTCCGCCTTGAATTATTTCATAGGGCGCGCCTTGGATTTTTAACCTTTTTTTTTGTATATTGTCTCTACTTTTTATTACTATGAATAGTTTTTCTTGTGCGCATTTACAACTTAAGTTTCTATGTAAAAAAGGGGCCACTTTGATATAATTAATTTAACTATGTTGCTGGAAACTAAATCTAGCATTTTTTTAAATTGAAGTGGAGCTCTTTTATTACAATTGCATTACACAATCCTAGAGGCAAACATTTTTGTTGTCTTTATGAATTTTATGGCAAACACGTCGCTACTGTTATAAAGGGTAAAACTTAGGAAAGTAATAGGACTATATACCGGTTACTTCATCTGAGAAACGAACAAAACTACGTGGATATAATCTGTAATAACCTCTTAGGATATGCAACGAGAAAGAAGAAACTGCCCATAACCGTCACATGCGAAGCAACCAAAAAGACACGGGAAAAAGAACTGCAGCAATGACATTCAATGATTCTCAAAAGAAGGATCGAGTGAACTGAACTGAACTAAGGAAATAGGAAAAGTACAATAAGTCAATAAGGCTGCAGTGCTTGGAAAATACAAAACCCTCGCTTCATAGCATTCCATTATCATCAATCCTAACACCACACTATTTAATTTCCTCACTAGGGCGAATCGAATCACTGGACTATGAGGCTTTCTTTATGCATTGTCCCAATGATTGTCGGAAAGAGTTCGAGATGAAGCGTGTTGTACTAAGGTGTTGGGATGATGGTTCAGGGTTTTTATCCACCCAGGGAGCCATAGCCCACTTAATGTGGAACTACGGTGACAATAGGTGGCACAGTGTGGCCAAGGCGGGGGCACAACCTGAAAAGATGAGCGTCATGCCTCGGACACTTCCCTTTCTCAACTCAGGTCCTTTGGCATACTTCCTCGAGACCTCTTCCAACCCTTTGATATAAGGGGGGTATCGAGGCACAACAAAATGGTGTAGCCTTGGGAGCGTGACAACCTCTCTACAGCACAAGCTGGATTCTGTCGGCCTCCGGGTCGGCAGCGGACGGCGGGTGCTTTATCAGAGGCACACGAAGGTCAGGGTACCAGATCCTGTCTGCATAGACGGGGGAAGGTGCATAACCATCGGAACTATGGGGTAGCAGAGAATGTTCCACGTCCAGCTCTGTTACATGGGAATGGACTCGTAGTGGTTTAGTGGCGATGCTCTTGGCGAGAACTTAGTGTGAACCTGTTGCTCGGGGGTATCGTTAGCGGTTCCTTCCGAGGACAGTGTTCCTCTATGGGGTGGTTAGACATTCCACTTTAAACAAAACCGCGGCCGAAGTGGAACCGGAAGTTCTTACGCTGGAGGAGCCCCACTTCTCTGGGAGGTAGAGTGGCTTCTCTATCTAGGGAGCTCGGCGGGACGACCCAGGCTGATGCATTTCAGCCAACTGGAGTTACCCTTAGCCGAGCGGAAGTAGGTCTAGAGATTAATCCATCCACTCGGAATGGACAAATGGAGGGTGAGGTCCGAGGCGGCTTCTACACCAACGCTTGCTGCTATAACACCCATCCGGTCGGACGTGGAGGTGCGTCATCCCTCATCTTGAGAATCAAAACGTCCGTAGGGCCGAAAAGGCTAGGTACGGACGTTAAAGATCCCCATGTCCTTTTAAGGGCTTTGAGTAAATATAGTTCAGGGTTTTATGGAGGCGTTTATTATCGGCTTCTTGCGGTTTCAAGGATAAATTAGTCTGTGTGGACAGCAAGGTGGGAACGAGTTGGGAAATGGTTCAAAGAATTTTGGAGGTCCAAAATTAGTTCCTACCCTATTGCAAGTTGGCGTGACCAAGCTTCTGTTAATGGAAAAGTAAACTTGATGTGCTTCGTAACATATTTAAAAAAAGAAACCTATATGTAATCCTTATTAACCGTTCTTTGCATTTTATTTTTGCATCCTACATGTATTTGTTAAATTTAAACAATGTAAATCCCAGGTCCTGAAGATGATCTCAATAAAGATCGAAACGTTGGCACGATAAAGAAAATGTTTTTCTGAAACCTACATCACGCCAGACCGCATCTCACGATTTCCGAATAATTACCTATTACTTTTTTTACTTGAGCCTTTTGCTTTTAGGACTTTACTGTCTAAGGGTGTTGGTTCACTTTACATTAATTCTGAAACACATACATTTTTTTTCATTTTATCTTTCGTCTAAAATAGTATTTCTGGGTGGGTCTTACGAAATACGCCGCCCTTGGCTCGTCCAAGTTATGCAACCCGCACAGCGTCTAGGTTCCCATTTTCGTAAAACCCGTTTGGTTTTGGTTTTTTAATTATTATTATTATTATAATTATTTTGATTTTCTAATTTTCTTTTGTAATGAAGGAACCTTGACTAGTGTTGTTTTATCACTAGTCGGGGCAATAAGGTTGAAATTACTTTTTTTTAAATAACAATAAAAATTTGTAAAAATATACATATTTTCATAAAACAATTATTATATAAAATAAACGATTTACAAATTATTTGCATAAAAAATATTTACAATAAAAAATAATCCATGTGGAATGGTGTTCTTTGAGCACTGGGAACGCAGTCTAATTTTTTTTGTCATCAGTGCTACCTGAACTGTAAGCATTTTCTCACTTCTTACCTCACCCTTCAGCTTTTTTGGTGCAATTTGCGTCAAGTATTTGTCCTTTTCGTCACCCAGAGGTTAAAGGTGTGTAAAGTGTGTTAAAGGAGTGGGAAAATGGACAGTACGAGATTGAAGGGCTCTTTGGAAGGGACGGTTAGGATATTCCCTGAAAACCAGACTATATCATGTCGAGTAGTAAGTCAATTAGTTGTCTTACTTATTGTCCAATTGGTAAGAACTACTGAACGAGAAAAAACTATTCATTAGCATCTGGAAGAGGTGAAAGGCTAACTTTTTGCACCATTTCATCAAATCAAAACCTTCTACATTTGAATGTTCTTCCATTAAAACTCCATTGTGAAAAATTAACAATTATTTTTTAAAAAAATTAGAAAATCCTGAATAGAAAAATAGAAATAGGTACTATAACCTAATTTTATAAAAATTCAGTTTCTTACAAATTAAATGAAGAGAACACCAAATTGTTAAACTTTTGATTTTTTCCCCTTACAATACCCTGAAAATCACAAAAGTTCTCAGTTTATTTCTAACTATATATGTATTTGTTTCATTATGTTAATTACACCACTTATTTTCATGTAAACCAAATTAAACGAGATAAGAAATTCATGACTTTTAGTAGATAGCTATTGTATCCTCCATTCTGTGCTTAAATCACACCGTTAAGTCCTAGTTCATCAAGGAACTTTGAGTAGGCCCAGTTTCAGTGGTTGAATCTCTTCTACGTTTAAACACTTCCTCCTGCGGGCAAATGTAGTAGGTTTGATTATTTCTCTGGAGAATCTACACTTGCCGTGTTGGGTTATGCCAGTCTTTTTCAGATGTCCAATTAGTTTGCCATGTTCTGTTAGCATTCACAGTTTTTCCCTGCATCCTTTAATACATTCAGTTATTCCTCTTTCTTCCTTCCAGTTCCTCTTTCCTTTCAAAGTTTGTTAGGTTGTTGGATTGTTTATGTCCAATGATTGGGTTCCATTTTCCCTCATTTTATTTTATCTTTCTGTCTGAGGTGCTCATCGATATGCCACAGGACTTTTTTTAGTAAAAATTATTGAACGATGCTATCTAAGAAAATTGCTATCTATGAGTACATTTATTATTCTGTAATTATATTCTATGTAAAAATAATCAAATCTTACTTTAAAAAAAACAAAATAGTTGAAAAACTTTCACAGGCATCAGTGGAGTGGAATGGAGCATAACGTTTGAAAGCTGGTTTCACAGCAAATCTAAAAACTGCTTCAAAATAGGTATTAAAAAAAGTAGAGAAAAATAATAGCCGATAAAAAATAAAGTGCATCTGGAAACAATTATTGGGTGACCCCGCCACCTCATGTAGAAGGCAAATCAGGTTTCGTATGGATCATCTTGATTCATTTAGCAATTGCTCCTGATATTGAAATTTTACAAAAGGGTTCTTGATCTTATGTGTTATTACATTTATTAGGTTTTGTGGTCTGCTTAACCAAATAAATTCTTTTCAATTTATTTAAGGTTTTGGTTGAGATAAAAAAGTCAGTCACAAGTGGGATTCGAACCCACAACCTTCGGCTAAATATGCCGCTGCTCTACTACTTGAACTATCATGTCTTCGATACACTCAGACACTAACCTCCTATCTTTTTTCCCCATTTTTTATCTCAACCAAGGCCTTAATTAAATAGAAAAGAGTTTATTTTAAATCCCGCTTGTGACACTTACTTATGTGTTATATTGACTACCCTTATTTTTGCATCACGTGGATAAACACCATGTAAGGCTTTTTTTTAAATTTTCTTCTTAATTACTTGATAAATTTGATTAATTTGAAAATATAAAAGGTGTAGAAATATAATCAAACAACAGGAAACCAAATATTTTTAAAAAATACATTATATATCTATATAATTATTATTACCAATAATATAAAGAAAATAATATGGTTCTGTTTAAGCAATTTAATTGAGAATTGCACAAATAAATATTAAAATTATAAATAACAGTGTAATGTCATTTTAAACAGTACATAGTAAATATAGCATATTAACTTTCATTGTTGTAATTTGCAATATTGCTATTATTATGCTTTTATTTGTTGATAAAAATAATATAGAACATTTAAACACAATATTCAATTGTCAATAGAAGTAAAACTAAAAAAGATAAAAAATTAAATGCATAAAACCTTTTAATTACAATAATTATGTTGATTATGTTTTCATAGGACAAGAGAGCACTCAAGTGGTATATCACAGTATGAGACATCCGTGCTCAAAGTTTTAAGTCCATTTATTAATTTTTTTAAATTTGTATCCATTTAACTGTATCGATTAACTGATACGAGACCCAAGCTTTTTAAGGACATCAACGCCCATCTCCTCGTACTCTTGCTTTGTCATCCAGAACGTATCACGATTCTTCATTACTTCGGCAAGGACGGCACCGCCAATAAAAACCATGTCTTTCCGATGTGGCGGATCTTCAATCCTTATTTTGAATTTCTAAAACAGGTAAGTACGTACAATTAGTTTTGTAAATATTATAAATTTAGAAGATTTGTAAATATTACCGATAGTTTATCTATATCATTCTTGAGAACTCTTTCCAAGTACAACTGTTTGATTTCCCTTTCAAGTCTGCTTGGCAAGCCAGGGTACATGGTAGACCCTCCGGAGAGAACGATGTGCTTGTACAATTCTGTCCTCATGTCAATATCAGCGGCTTGAATTGTATTAAATACCATCTCGGCAATACCTTAAATAAAATAACACTAATAATTTGTAGTTATTTAAAATTAAAGTTTTTCCTTTACCTTGCCCTTCAACATTGATTAAATGAGGCTGAAAAAGGGCTTCTGGAGCTTCAAATCTTTCTCCACTGACTTTAATAACCCTTCCATCAGGAAGCTAAAAATATTTGTAATTAAAACATTGTTATCAAAACTGTAAAAAAAATAATAAAATAAAACACTTACTGTATAAGGTTCAACAAGAACTGTAGTTTCTAAAGCAAGCTTTTGTTCTGTTTCTATATTATAACCTATATAACATAATTTCTCTTTCATTATTCTAACAGTCTCAAAATCTGCTGAATGATTGAAAGCATACCCTCTGAGAAGAAGTAGCTACAAAATACAAAATTTCATTAAATTATTTAAAAACATAAAACTTCTAATTGATACATACCTTAATTAAATACCTAGTAATGTCTCTACCAGCTATGTCTAGTCTTCTAGTCAAATGAGGAAGTGCGAATTCCTCGTAGACCGGGCAGATGTGAGTGACTCCATCACCCGAATCGACTACGACCCCGCTTAAAAGGCCTTGAGCGTATAAGGTTAAAACGGCCTGAATTGCGATATAAGCACCACTGAACCCGTACTTCTCGAACATAACCTAACAAAAATGACGTTAGCATAAACGATGTAATAACAATATTTTATGTCCATACTTCAATCATCTTTTGTCTATTTTTTGTCGGATTCATCGGAGGCTCAGTGAGAAGGATTTTGCAATCGTGTGGGTTTATATTCATTTTCTCTGGTCCAAATGTATAATCCCAAACATGGCACATATCTTCCCAATTCCTAATAAAAACACATTTTCATTTAAACAATAATAATATAATAAAATAAATAAATATAGTTAAATTTAACTTTACCTCACGATACCATTTTCCATTGGATAGTTCACTTCAAGCATGGAGCGCAGCTTGCTAGCCTCATCTCCGACCATCAAATCCTGAAAAAAAAAAAAAAAAAAAAAATCATAATAAATATTTTTAAGGCTGTAAAGCAACATGAAATTAAAATGCTTAGGATGATTTGCTAATAAAACATAACAAACGCATGACCATAACATTAAATATTCAACTTTTAAAACACAAAAACATGCAACACAAATACAATCATTTCGCTGAAAAGAAAAGTTTCTAATTAAGATTAAAAGTAAAACAATCTCAGGCATTATTTTGACGAAAAGGAACAAAAACGAATCATTTGAACACACATGCCATAATAATGTCAATTATTTTTCAATTATTTAAGCATTTGTTTATACAAAAACTTGGCCCTGGAAAGAACCGTAAGTGAAAAATTGTACAGCTACAGCTGAATGCATTACAAGGGAGAGTACAATAACTGCTACACAGCAAGAATTTTGTGCAAGTTCAGCGAATATTCTTCTCATATATAATATATGGTATGTCTAAAGACCTCCGTTTTAAATTATGATCATAGGACAGAAAGTAAGTATTGAGTAACCCATCAATAAAAATGAATAACAGAAACAAAAGATGTCTGACAACTGTCAACTGAAAATGCAATATCACCCCCGGAACAAACACACAAAATGTTCTACATACATTAACCTGGTGTAGAAATAATACAGGTTTTGAAAAGGAAGTCAAAACTATTGTTAATTTTTATTAAATTAAATGAAACTTTATTCGAAATATTTACCATCACAATCTTTACCTCTGCCAATTTAATATTACACGTAAGAGCTTTTATTCCAATGGGATAAAAATCTTTATTTCGATTTACAATAAAATCTTGGAAGGCTTTTTCAGCTTCACTGCATTCTCTAAAAATTTTATCCCTCAAAAAGTGATCAAAATGTCTAAAAAAGTGGATGTCTGTAGGTGAGAGGTCGGGTGAATATAAAGATGCAGAAAGGTTCCCAATCCTAAAGTCCTTAAGTTTCCATACAGTTTTAGCATTGTGACATGTGGCCTGGCATTATCATGAAGAAGAATCATCAAGACAAAGATATTGCAGTTTGGCTTTATGTACTTCTTGGTAATATTTCTCTGCCTGTGAAAGTTTCACCCCCCCCCTGTAATTTTCACCTATTTTGGCCTTTACAAAACCACTAGGATAAAGATTTCAAGACGATGCTGGGGTGGAAGCCTTCATGAGCAATTGGTGCATCACATAATCCTCTTTCTTTTATGTAGGGATCTAAAACCTACCAATCTGCAGGAAAAATAATGAATTCTTGGTTAATTGATAGCACAAAATTTGAAAAATAAAATACAAACTTGTTTATTTTTTAATTACCCTCATAAAACATAATTTAATTAACATTAGCTAATAAGACTCGTAATTAAAGTATGACAATCACAGAAACCTTCGAAAAGCTGTTTTGAGTATGTAGAGGAAAGAGCATCAATATAATAAAAAATAGCTTAATTTCATTATTAACAAACCACCCAAAAAAACAATAGGATTTTTTTATTTGCTATAAAAGCAATTAATATTGTTAAAAAAACTTTATTGATGATGGCTTTTTTTTTAAATAAAGAAGAGTAATGCATCATCAAGGTCAATAAACACAGTATCACTATTCATTTCTGCATAGTTTATCAATTTAAATGATAGTTTTATTTCTCATGAAATTTTTGCATAACCAACTTAACTATATTAAAAAAGAAATCTAACATAAACGAACATCAAGCTGGATGTCATAAAAATTATAACTGCCAAATGCTTACATCAGGCCACCTTTTTTTGTACTGAATAGTAACAAAAATGAACCTAAAAACATGCATCAAGGAAAAAAACAACCTGTGTACTGTGACTTACGGGTAATTCCTGGGTCAGCAGGTGAACACCAGCATATGTAAGATAATTTTGTATAAATAAATTATGCAAAACAAGAAGGCTGAGAGAAGAAGATATGCAGTTTTGTTTAGTAACGGAAGCTATTTACAAGATTTATATACAACAGGAGAAAAAAAAAGGCTTGTATTAGTCAAGATATGTTTAATAATTACAACTATTTGTTTTTGACTCGCGTCTGTAAGTAAAGACCATGCTGATTAATTTCAAATTAACAATCAAATGGAAAAAATTGTTTTGGTTTTTACAAAAAAAGAAAAAGACACAATTTCAAATAATATTCTTACAAGTTTTACAGAATGCTTACTCTGACAGTTAATCCCTGTAATAGAAAAATAATTATGAAGACGTTTCCATATTTATAAAAAATAAGTAATAAATTTAAAAAATGTATAATACAAAAATTTACAGTACACAGAGTGGCTCAAGGCAAAATAAATATTAAAAGCAACATTGTGAAAAAAAAAAAAAAACACTAGCTTGGCGATTCAAAGCCCAACAGAGAAACAATAATTGTAGCCCACAATTGAAACCCATTGAAATACATCAACATCAACTGATACAATTAACATTGGACATTCACACTTCAGTTTCACGCAAACATCACACAAAGGACATGTCTGTAAGTTCTAATTATTATTCATAACTACAAAATGTCATATGGTATAGCCTAACAGAAGCACAAGTTGACAACAATTTTTAAATTTATTAAACCAAATTTTAAAGCTCATAACCAGTGCTTTTTTATATGTTAGAAATAAAATACTTTACAGACATCTGGATATTTCTGAACTGAACAGAGTTATTAAACAATTCTGTGGATAACACCATCATCAAATCAACGCATCCCATTACTATGGGATGTAATAACCCTTTAACCCCGAGGCGTATGAGATGGTTGCAAAGAAAATAGCTTTCTGACAATAATAAAGTAACAACTTGTATACCTTTTGTAACTATCAGAAAAAATGTGTTTAAATATGTCTGTAAAAATATCACCTCCTACAAAAAAAGACCTTTTGTCTAAAGTATAGTACGTATTACAAAAATATACCTATTCAAGTTTCAACCTGGATGACTGAACCTGATTTGGTTTATCGTTTGGCCCTCTACCAAACTCTGCTCTAGTATATTGTCGAAAGAAGGTTTTAGGGACCCATTGTATATTATTTTACTCTGAGGCAGTTGTCTGTTTTGAACTTTAAAAAGTCAATAATTGGTCTTACATCAACAGGAAGGGTTTTCACCAAGTAAATGGTAACAAAACTTTGATCAAGGAAGTAAAGGGAGTAACAGAAATTTGGGCTTCCAAGTATTTGTAAAATCTGTGGCCATGAGTTCGATTCCCACCACCACCCTAGAATTTTCCAAACACTCCCCTTCCCCCAACGAAAAAACAAAAAACTACTTTTAAAGTAACAATTTTATGCTATTTCTCAAAATATTCTATCAACTTATCTTTGCGTCAGTTCTAGAGGACAAAAATCTTAAAAAGTTATACTTCAGCAGGGCTTAATGTGCAACTACCCATTGGGTTTCAAGGACAAGGGGTCAAATGCACTTTACAATACAATTTTCATACCATTATCAACAAAAAAAGCCATGGGCTCTGTCAGGATTCAAAGCCAGAACCGCTATCATGGCAAATACGAGTTGGACCCACAGAAATTTTATACTATCAGCCCATTCAACAGGAATCTGAATGGGTGCCACTTACTAAAACCATTTTACAAATACAAATTTTAAAAAACTCATTACGACCTAGTATCTACCTTGTGATCCGAGTGTCCAACATATGAGTTTTTTTTAAATAAGAGCCATCAACAGGTCTAAATATTGTCTGTTACAATAAAATCTTTATATATTAAAAAAAAAAAACATTTTTGAGCATTAATGAAAAATTAAACAAAATTCACTACTTTTCGTGGCCCGCATGACCAATTAATACAATTCAATTAACTGAAGTTTTGAGAGAAGATTTGAACAAAATAGTAAATTTACTTTTTTTTAATCTGCTCAATCTTCAGCAGATGGTGATATAAAATATTATTCTTATTTGTTTTGGATAAACTACTTTTAAGCCAAAGGATTCCATACAAAACACATAATAAATGTCATCTTTTAAAAGCCTGAAATTCGTTCTTTGCTTTGCTATGACATTAAAATCTATTTCAAAAAAAGTTTGTATGTCCTTTTTTTGGATGCAATATTTGTTCATTATAAATACATTATAATAAAAAATTCAGTTGTTGAGGGCTGGTACAAATTAATTTCATTTCAATGATTTTTTTGTTAATTTATTTTTTAATGAAGGGTTGCAACAGCAGAGGTCATATCAACCCTCAGATGTTGGTGGGGAAAAAAAATAATCTCAGGTACAATTCAAATGCAGGACCTTAATCTATCAGTAATGAGCACTGTGTCGCTTAAACTGATGTGGCCACCGACACCTCCTTTGACGAATTTCATTATGGAAAATTTATTTGAGATACGAGCATTTTGACTTAAGAGCTCGAACACGTTACAAATTAAACTTTTATCTCATGGTGCCATTAGATTGCAAATTGTCAGTACACAAATACATAAAAAAAAAAAAAAAAAAAAAAAGGACAGTCATATTTTGTTGTTTATTTTAAAAAATTGTATTTTTATCATTATATTTATTAATTTCAACTTATTTATTTTATTTATTTAGAAATCATGAGATGCAGTCTGGTGTGATGTAGGTTTCAGAAAAACATTTTCTTTATCGTGCCAACGTTTCGATCTTTATTGAGATCATGTCCTCTCGACATGACACGCAAGAATGACACAATTACACAGAAGTCAAACACTTTGAGCCCTGAAGATGATCTCAATAAAGATCAAAACGTTGGCACGAAAAAGAAAATGTTTTTCTGAAACCTACATCACACCAGACCGCATCTCACGATTTCTAAATAAATATTGATTAACGGTCACTAATCACCACACTTATTTATTTTAATCTAAACCAAATTTAACAAAATCAGAAATTCATGAGTTCTAAAAAAAATAATTTAATTATGATGCTTTGAACGAAAATTCACCAAAATACTGAAAAATCATTTAGTGACACAATAGAATATTTATTTTTTATTCAAGGATTCCCAAAGCAGAGGTCATATTCATCCTTAGGGTGTTTTTTTTTTTTTTTGGGGGGGGGCATTAGTGCGTCAGCCCCTGCATTCAAACTTGGGAGCTTTACCTTACAGTGAAGAGCACTGTGTCAATGCATGAACTTTCGTGGTTCCATGGCCACCAATGACAAAAAATGTTAGTTAAATTATAATCTATCAGTAAATGATTTTCTGTTGTTTTGGTGGATTGTTTTTCCAACTATCATAACTAAATAAATTTTATTGAATTTCTGATTTGGTTTACTTTCATATACATTAAAATAAATAATACTGTAATTAATATAACAATAATAGTACTAATAGTTTGAAATAAACAATAAAACACGATTATTTATTTGCCCGAGTATATTTAAACGTTATTAATTTTTTTTTAAATAAAAAATAATGAAGTATGTAAAATGTTTTGTAGTTGATAACTGATGACTAATGTTTCTGAATATGGCATGTACTGTACAGCCACACCTCCAGCAGAGATTGAAGCCCTATCACAACACACACAATCCATCCACATCGAAGGATCCATTTATACATAAATTTACAATACAAAATATGCAACAGTTGGAAAAAATCTAGGTGGAAAAATTGTTAAAACATGAGTAAAAATCTTTCGTGTTACCTTAACTTCGATGTCGCCTATTTTGTTGACAGCCCTTATGATGGGCCTTCCGACCATAGAAGGAAAAATGTACTCGGGGAAGTTTGAACCGGCGTAGCCGCATTTGACGAACTAAAGACAAAAACAACCTAATTAATAAATATACAAACACGGTTTAATATATATATAAAAACAGGTTATACAGTGAATCATTAGCGATTTCAATTTAAATATTTGGTTTTAAAATTTGACTCACCCCTGTCCCGTTGTCGCAGACGATGACTTTCTTCCCTTCGCTGTCCATCTTTGGTTCACCTTAAGCAAGTATTGTACAATAAAGAGAAAAAAAGAACCGGCGGAATCAAAGAAAACCGCACCCCATTGATATCTACTGGTTGCGTATGGACGAATGGCAATTGGTTGATGGCCCGTTAGGTCTTTCGACTATCGGGACACCGCGATAATCGAAGCGAATCATCAACTACGTCATTACCCGCCAGAATACGAAAATGGTCCAAGAATGAAGCTTTAAATAATACACTGGCCATTCGGCTAATCGAATTGAAGGGTCCAGTGGAAAAATGATGAGGTTCCATTTTTTCAACATTTGAGAAACACTAAATTTAAAGTTTCATGACGACTGGTGAAATAGTTTCTTTTTTGATGTTTGATTCAATAATTGTAATAACATTTAGAGTTCATTCTGAGTAATTCTCATGATCCAAAAACCATTAAACCGTCATTTCAAACCCAGGAACGAATAAGAAAATACCATGATTACGAAATTTTATTATTAATTTCAATGTGTGGTGATTAGTGACCGTTAATCGGTAATTATTCAGAAATCGTGAGATGCGGTCTGGTGTGATGTAGGTTTCAGAAAAACATTTTCTTTGTCGTCCCAACGTTTCGATCTCAATAAACATCTTTATTGAGATCGAAATGTTGGCACGATAAAGAAAATGTTTTTCTGAAACCTACATCACACCAGACCGCATCTCACGATTTCTGAATAATTATTAATTTCAATGATGAACATGCAAGTGAAACGAAAATTCTGAAATGATATCTATGGTAAAATTTTTAGATTAATACTAAACTAAAAAAAGTTAGAAGCTCTAAGCTAAAAATTTTTACGTTACTCATCGTCTACCTCCTAATCAAAATAAACATCCTGAGTTTTTGTGGCAGTTCTATCTGTGACCAAATTATTGTAAAACCTCCTGGCAACTTCGTTGGTGAGAAACGTATGTTGGAAGGGGCCCATCCTAGGACTTACGAAGCTGATGTTTTGGTGCGGGGTTCTTCCCCCTTTTTTTCCTTTTTTGGCACCCACAACACATTGTGCTTATTATAAGCTCCACAGAATGAAGTGCGCTGGTGTATATACTGTGGTGTGTAAGAGATATCTTCAAACATCGAATCGTTCTTGTGTGGGCATTTCGGTTTGTACATCGGTACTAAGTAATTTGTCCACGATTTGAAAAATTCCCTCTTACAATCAGGGTTTACGGACCAATCACATCCCTCCATCCTTGAGGCATACCTACATAGGATTTTGGATTAATCATGTCATAATCATATCTCTATCGTACTCCTGATAACCATGGCCACGGATGGGAAAGAAAACTTTTACACAATACACTCTCCTTTTTCTATTGCGAGATGCGATGGTGAAGGAATCGCAGAACTGTATAATTTTTATTTTGCACTGCACATGAGTCACAAAAAATTATAAGCGTTCTGACTGCTTGTGGAAGAATTTTTTTTTAAAATGCCGGGGAGATGGAGCCTCATCGTTCTTCCACTGTACCGCCCATTTTCAAACGCGATTTTTAGTGGAATCTAATCGGTTTTCCCTAGCCACATTTGGCGAGTTAATAGTTAATGTCACAAGCCAACAGATGCCGGTGAAATCTCGATTCTGACAAAAAATGACCCTCATCGATTTTCCACTGTTTCCTTCAATTGTATGAAAAAGAATGGTGCAGGATGATGATAATGATGATGATGGATAGGAAGGAAGCGGGGTTTGTTCTCCCCGGGCATTGCAGTCTTCTGGCTAGATCCCTAGTTTAGGGCTATTGTCTCGATCCTTCTTCTCAGAAGTATTAGGTGTCAATGACTGTCGTTGATATAATTGCTTTCCCTGGGTTTTCTTTGTATCCTAGGTTCGTCTATATCTTCATAGAGCCGTTGCTTCGCATTCGAAGATGATAACGACCAACCCGCTGGATGTGCTAAGGGCTGAAATTTCGACAGTGCATTCCTATAATGACAGATAAGCGCAAAGAAAGCATTCTTTGAAATTCCAGTCCCTAGGAGATCTTATCAATTTTTTACCATGTATAGATCGAAGTGGACTGAAAAAGAGAAGAATTTAAGAAACAAGACATTATATTAGAAAGCTATACTAGCACTCTGCAACGAATTAGAAAGGTATACTAAAACAAAGGGGGGGAAGTCGCGGGTAAAAATTTGTCTTTACATAACCGCAAACTTAGTCATCATTGAGTATACCCATTTAGATGTTTTCTCAGATGTCAGTGATCGGTTTACAGGGTGTTATAGGGTTAAGGGGTGGATTCACTAAATAAAACATAGTTCAGTGCTCCAGAAAGAAGTTTCTATCTTGTCTCTCTCCGGACATATTAACATTTTTGTGATTTTAATCTAAAATCAATTTTTTTAACATAAAATCGTCATTTGTCATCTTTAGCATTATTAAAATACAAATCTGACCTTTATTTAGCAAACTACATTAAATTTTCCACAAGGTAACAACATTTCCGTTGAAAAATTCTCACGTGCAATGATTTGTCAATCAAAATTTTCGGGGATTCGACCAAAGTTGCCTCATTTTATAAGTATTCCAAGGATATACTCATATTTTAAAAACTTTTCTTTGTGAAATATCCTATGCAAAGTTAAAAAACGTGATCTTGAACCCAAGTGCAGCAGTAACAAAAGAATATTGTACATGTCATATTTTTAATGAAAAGATTTAGTTGGTAAAAAAATCAGGTCCATTCTTCTCATAAAGTGTACATAAAGAAAAATTAGAATGAAAATTAAAATTTATTATTTCGTTGGCGAAAAACGTAAAAATGAGTATGTCCTCGCAATACATATAAAAAAGGCTACTTTGGTGAAATACCCAAAAATTTTAGTTGAAAAATCGTTTCACGAGCCACAATTGAGTATTTAAAAAAAAGTTTTGCCATTTGTTATGTTTTGAATTACTTCTGTGTATTCGGAAGTGCGAATTTTTCAATGGAAATGTTATTTTGTGAAAAATTTAATATAGCTTGCGAAATAAAGGTCAAATCTCTATTTTAATGACGTTTAAGTTGAGAAAATAAAATTTTATGTAAAAAAATCTGATTTTAGATTAAAACACCCAGTATAGTCCTATCACTCCTCTGAGCATTGCCAGTTTATTTATTTTATCATAAGCTTGCTATGTCTGTCACCTGTAGAATTTGGCCGTTTCTCTTTTTGTTATTTTTGGATCCATTTTGAGATTGAAGATTCTGTTTTTGCCATCCTAAGTATAGGTTCATGCTCATCAAGCAAAAGAAGAAAAAATGAACTGCAATACGGAAATTATAAAAACCAACTTCAACCATAAAAAAAAAGTTCAACGTAATTTGGTTGTCCACGATGTTTATTGTTTCTTTATGATGTGCCTTGTTGGTTTAATGGTCTTGATTTTTAATGGATTAGTTTCGAACGTCACTTAAATATAAATATTGGTATATTTTGGAATGTTAATTTTAATCATGCTTTATTGAATATAATTCAATATATCCTTAAGAAATTTATTGTGTAATTATTTATATTTGTCTATGAACGAGAGATTTTTCGAAGAGAAGTTTCACGAGGCCATACATACACGGTATCGTCGTCGCTACGATGAGCGCTACGGTGTCACCGTAAGGTCAACGATGCTTCTCTAACATCAATTATCGATGCATCGCCACGTCTATCAACCCTGAATCATTCTCGAGCCTGGAATCATCAGTTTAACCTTTGGCTTTGATTCTCCAATCTCCTCGAATTCGGAGGAAAGGAAAGGGGCGAGCTGAAGAGAAAGCCGAAGGATCGAGCGATACACGGCCGATACGAATCGGTCGTCACTACGGTTACGACGAACCGGTCAGCGATACCGTCATTTCTCTACGGCGCCCCTTGAATCCAAGCTTATCTCTATTATAAATTTTTGTTTACTCTCACTATGATGCATATCCTAGCGTTGACTGTAATATTCTGCGAGTCTTGTGTTATCACTTTTCGCCTCCTCAGAACATGAGTAGTCTTGTATTTGAACAATGAAACACATCACCACGATAAATCAGTGCAGACGATAAATAAAATGTATATGTGACGAATTGTTTTCCAGGTAAATTTCTTTTGCATTAGTATTTTGACATTTGATTCAATTTTTGTTTTGGCTTTTCAGCATAACTCAAAATGAAGTACTTAGTGGCCTTGGTTTTTCATGTGACTTGGCTGCTTGGCCTCTCCGATGGATTCTACGTCCCTGGTGTCGCTCCGGTGGAGTATACGGACGGGTCTCCGATCGAAGTCAAGGCAGTTAAAATGACTAGCACTATGACCCAGCTTCCTTACGACTATTACACATTACCTTTCTGCCGACCACCTAAAGGCATTGTGTACAAGTCTGAAAACTTAGGTTCGTTGTAAAGCAGTTTAACATTAAATTCATTTCGTGTAGATTGGGAAGGTAGTTGAGCTTGTTAGACCGATTTTAATGTGTTGTACTCTCGGTTTGATACTTGGGGATCTCTGTACACACACAGTTTGTCAGTTTAACTAAACTTGTGTTCTCACAATTCAACTTTTTAGTTGATCAATTAAAGTTTAAATTTTTCGTCATTCAACTCATCAGTTCTTCCTTTCAAGTTGAAACCTGTGAACTTCTCAGTTGATTGTTTCCTGTTCAACTTTTACACTGCGAGTGTTTTTCAATTAATTAAGATTTTTTGTTGAGATAAAAAAGTCAGTGTCACGAGCGAGATTCGAACCCACGATCTTTGGCTAGATACGCCGCTGCCCTACCACTTGAGCTATCATGACCTCTCAAGTGGTATAACAGCGGCGTATCTAACCGAAGATCGTGAGTTCGAATCCCGCTCGTGACACTGACTTTTTTATCTCAACTAAAAACCTTAATTAATTGAAAGATATTAGTTGGTCAAGCAGACCACGAAAACTAGTGAACTGTGAGTGTTGTTTTTTGTTGAACAGTTCAAAAAAACAAAAATGTTCCTTAAGTGTACTTGAAGTATTGGGTTGTCCGGAAAATAATGCAGGATTTTGGTATTAAACAAAAAAAAAGAAACTAGTTACTTTAAAGCAATGTTCTTTAATCAAAATAATTTNCATACAAATGAGTAATCCTGTAAACGTAAACAGAATATTTTATATAGATTTTTTTTAATGAAAACTTAAAATCCTGCATTATTTTCCGGACAACCCAATAATAGACTATCCAATGTAGACTTTACATGATACTAAAATTATTAGAATTTTGTTGCAAGCATTACTACCTTTGGAATTCCCATATTATTGCAAAATTAAGACGTTTGCCTTTTGCATCAAAATACCATGCAACGATGTGTGTAACATCTTTGGCACAAAAGCTGTCGACATTTATGATAACCCATATATGCATTTAGTAGTCTTAATTGATCATATAATTTATTTTAATTAATTATACTTTTTATTTTGGGGTCTTGGTTGAGATGAAAAAGCTAGTGTCACGAGCGAGATTCGAACCCACAAAGTTGAATTGACGGTTGTTGGGTTGGATCCCATTCGTGACACTAGCTTTTTCATCTCAACCAAGACCTTAGTTTTGGTTTGCTAAAACTTTTAAATTTTTGTCATAAATATTACTTCCTTTGGATTCACCGCCTCAGTTATTAAAAAATACAGATTATAGAGAAAATGCTTTTATTCTAGGAAATAGAAATTTCTAGATTCACTATTGCAAAGGTAAGAAACTGCCTCAGATTACTAGGAAATGCAAAGCAGCAGAGTAGAAAAGGATGATTTATGAACCCCCTCAGCCTAATGATGACAGCGAGAGAAAATGTGTTGAATTCTATTATAAAAGAAATTGCTGGAATACTGTACTTAGAAAAACAAAATTAAGAATGATTATTTGAAGATCATGAGTTGCGGTCTGGTATAAGCAAGAACATTCAAATGTTTGAAAATTAAAAGTTGCTCAATTTTGATTGACTTGATTCATGTCACTTTTAACTTTTATTGATCGACTAAACTTTGAATCATTAGAACGCACATTACATCAGAGGAATAAAATAACTTATTGAAATTTTGGTTTTACTCCTTATTAGTGAAACGTGAAATGAGTACTAGGATGGAAAGCATCTAGGGCACGATTGCATTACTTTAGTACAGAAAACATCTTAACACATACCAACACTCAAATAGCAGGCAGTTACAATAATAATTTTGTGTAAAATGGGCATTTGTTATTAACATTACATGTAACGTTTTCACCATTATTCCATTCATCTTCCAAGGCTAGAGTCGTGGGATCACCTGTTTCAATAAACTTTTATTTGCTGTGTTTTATAGGTTGAAAAATATTAAATATGTGTTTGAGCCAATGTGCTTTTCTTTTCCTTCTTGCTTTCCATTGTAGATTAATTATTTTGTATCCCCCCCCCCAAAAAAAAAGTTTGTAACAGTAAACAGTTAAAAAAAAATTAGAAATGATCACACTTATTTCATCACACTAGTTGGTGGTGATGATGATTTATTTACTATTTTCACTGGTTTTGCTTCCATTTTCATTCTTTTTGGCATTTTTTAGATTTGTTTGTTACGGAATGTGGTTGTTAGCTCTAGGCAACCTTTGTTATTGTATTCTGATTGGAGACTAGCTGATTTTTTAATCTGATTTGTTAAAGTTTTTGTCAAATTTTCAGGTGAAGTTCTAAGAGGAGATAGGATTGTAAATACGCCTTATGAAGTGAATATGAAAACAAATGTGTCTTGCAAGGTTTTGTGTACCAATGGGGAGAATTCGATTAAAATGCTCACATGGGATGGTCCGGATTTGAAAAAAGTTATAGAAATGATCCGAGAGGAATATATCGTCCATTTGTGAGTAATGCATAACATTTATTATACAGGTTCTCTAATATGCTTTTAAATTTTTTTAGAATAGTGGACAATCTTCCATGTGCGACGATGTTGTGGACAGCACCGGAAAATGGCAAGTTGCGTTATGGATATACAGGCTACAGGCTTGGATATGTACTTGATAATAAGGTCTATATAAATAATCATCTAAATCTTATCCTTCATTATCACACAGTCAGCAAGTGCGTGTTGCAAATATGCTTAAAGTGTAAATGAAACTTTCAAACTTATCACATTGTGTTTCAGAGACGAGCATAGAGTTGTCGGATTTGCGGTCGAAGCGAAATCTGTCGACTTGATGGGTCTGTCATTTGGAAATAACCAGTGCTTTATGGATGGGAAAAATGAAAAAGCTCAGGAACTCGTTGAACCGAGTACAAATTTGGTCTTTTCTTATTCTGTTAGCTGGGTGGCGTCAAACGTGAGTTGGGCTTCACGTTGGGACATTTACCTTGAGATGACTGATGTCGAAATCCATTGGTACTCCATCGTTCACTCGTTAGCTGTTATCATCTTTCTTTTTGGTAATTAAATTTCTATTTTTTTAAATTTAAATAATTAATATATTATTAATTACATTTTCAAGCAACTTTCACGGGAATAATGATCAGAACATTAAGAAGAGATATTGCAAGGTACAATTCTGATGAGTTTATTGAGGAAGCGCTTGAAGAATCAGGTTGGAAGCTGGTTCATGGGGACGTTTTCCGACCTCCAAGGAATACAAGATTTTTTGCTGCTGTTATTGGCTCGGGAATTCAGATTCTGATCATGGCACTTATAACGCTTTGTAAGGCAAAAAAAATATTTATATATGGGCTACTTTTTATTGTTTCAAAGTTGATGAGAAATTTGTTTTCAGTTTTTGCCATGCTAGGAATGTTGTCTCCAGCATCACGGGGTGCGCTTATGACTGCAGCTATAATGCTTTACGTCTTTTCTGGTTTAATTGCAGGCTATATTTCTGCACGACTGTATAAAACGATGAAGGGCCGAGAATGGAAGAGAACAGCTTTTTTGGTAGTTTATATTTAAATAATTTTTTATTACGAAAATTCAAACTCACTTTTCCCCCCCTAGACTGCTACATTTTATCCAGGCATTGTTTTTGGAGTTTGTTTCTTTTTGAACTTCTTCATCTGGGGTAAACATTCATCTGGTGCGGTCCCATTCTCGACAATGGTTGCCCTTTTGGTAATGTGGTTCGGGGTTTCATTGCCGCTTGTCTACCTCGGCTATTTCTTTGGCTATAGGAAACAGCCTTTTGCCCAGCCGGTGCGTACCAATCAAATCCCGAGGCAAGTGCCGGACCAAGTTTGGTATATGAATCCAATTCTCTGGTAAGTCATAAAAAAATCACAGTTGTTCTACATTAAAAATAAAAATAAAACATCAAAATTTATTCTTGACCTCTTTCAGTGTATTAATGGCAGGAATGCTCCCTTTTGCTGTAGTCTTCATCGAACTCTCATTTATATTTACAGCAATTTGGCAGAACCAAATCTATTATATGTTCGGGTTTTTATTTCTTGTTTTTCTCATTTTGGTTATATCTTGTGCTGAAATATCATTGGTCGTCATTTACTTCCAACTTTGTGGTGAAGTAAGTAAAAACACCTTGTCAGATTATTATTACATATTAATTCAATCTTTTATGTTTTAGTGTATCAATTGTGTGTTAAATGTAATGTATTTAATTTCAGGATTACAATTGGTGGTGGAGGTCGATGATGGTGCCCGGTGGTTCTGCAATATACGTTTTTATATATTCTGTCTTTTACTTTTTTTCAAATCTACAAATCACAGAGTTCATTCCGACACTGCTTTACTTCAGTTACACTCTTCTTATGGTATTGACATTCTGGCTGCTGACCGGTACCATAGGATTCTTCGCCGCATATTCGTTTATTATAAAAATATATGGAGCTGTGAAAATAGACTAGTTTGTGATTAAAGTGAAATTGTTTCTTTTTTCTTCTTGTGTTTTGTTTCTTGAAGAATAAACTCAGTTTAATAATATTAGAAGTGAAACTGCACGGAATATCCAGCCTAAGTTAGACTGATCAATGAACTAATTTATTAAGAATAATTAATTATTAAAATTTGTATACATTTTTATGGTTGTGAATGTTGTCATCCAGTGATGTATTAAACAGAAAAGACATTTATATGCGAGTAAATTTTTTTGCCATTTAAAAACTTTTACATTGATGTTTTGTAAGTTAAAAACTTATCAAATTTAAAGTTTTTGTGTGTATAATCTGGTGCAGCAATGATATTACATTTCATCGCATTTGCATGTATGTCTGTCAAAATGGATTTGTAGTCATTCAACAGTGACAAGTTGCTTATAAAACAATCATTTTTAAAATTTAAAATTTGAGAATATATCGAAATTGATATTAATTTTTGTTATTGATGTTTATCAGATTTGTTAGGTCTATCATTTTTGTCTTATATACTAATAAACGTTTATGGATTTATTTTCAAAGAAGTATACTTTTTTTTAAAACATAATTTAAATTTTTAATAATTAAATATTTATTGGAATGTGGTTTTTATTAATATTTTCCCTTTTCTATGGTACTGAAGGATTTTCTAAAATAAAAAGATATCTCAGGTAAATTATTGTTTTACAAACTAACACTCCTCTTTCTTCTTTTTTTGCGATTTGTTTCTCGATTTTGATTGATAAAGAAATGTTAAACTTCCTCAAAATTTTTGTTCGTTTATTAATGCCAAATAAATAAATTCATTAATAATTAAACAAAAAGATTGCAGCAATTCTAGAGTTCTTTATGAATCTAAATTCTTATTTGTTTTTTGGTCGTTTTTGATAATAGTCTAAGTATGCTTGCTGTTCTGGTCCGTTAGACATTGGCTTCTGTCCTATTTACCACTGTAAATATGTGTTATGTTATAAATATGAAGGGGTGAAAAATATAAACATAATTATGTAACATGATAGGTTACATACCCCAAGTACAGGTTCATCACCATTGCAAACAAAAAGAGGTGTCACCATTTAAATAAATTATTATTGTGTGATTTCTACTTGTACAATTGTAGAGATAGTTTTGTCAAACCACCGAGGATTGTGAAATGTTGAACTACAAACTACATTTGATGCACCAAACCAGTGAGGAGAGGTAGACCAGACAGACCAGAGATGATAATCTTATTAATAATTATAATAACCCAATAAAACATTCGTGGTTTCTTTACCAAGAAAAGGGCACTAGGTGAAGTACCTACTCATCTTTTTTTAAATTATTTATTTATTTTAATGAGGGTATTTCAACTGCGATGTTATAGGAACCCTCGAGTTGCATGTGTTTTGAAAAAATGCCCGTTTGTAAATGTTGGGCATGGCTAATGCAGGGCCGCTTGACTCAAACCCAGGACATTTACCTTACAGTGTTGAGTGCCATGTCAACGCGTGAACTGTTGTGGCCACTGACACCTCCGACATCTTTGAACAGAGACTTCATTGCAATCAGCAACTAAATAAAATCACATTAAGTGCAAAATTTTCCATTGGTAGATGTAAACGCCTTTGTGGAAAACGTTGTGAACTACGAAGATGTGTTATACACAGTAGTTGTTAAACCTAACCTAACAGAATGGTGGTTTGGTGTACAAAAACATGTGCGGTCAGGATCGTCTGTACTGTTTAGAGTATAATGTACTTGGGCAGTACTGGAGAATGACAATGACTCAGCTGCAGCCCATTACATAAAACTGAATTTATCATCACTACATATCTTCATCCAGAGAGAGGCTAGAGCCACATTCACAGTCTAATGCAAGGACAGGCTCCAGTAGGCTATCAGCATAATATATTACACAGGGCGGGCGACCAGGACCCGAGGAGGCTATCAGCATAACATGGAACAATTAATGTTTGGTAAGAACTTCAAGCAGACAAGGTTCTGGTTCTGAGGGTCGGAAATTAACCAAAGACTAGAATATGGACAAATGCTGCTGTCTTACCAACGGAAATAATAGTCATCTATTTGTCAGGTGACACTAAAGATACGATAAGATAGGAAGAAAGGATGGCTAAATGCTATGCAGTATGCAGGTGTTGGGTTTTGAATAATTGAAAAATTCTTGGACTCCATTTTTCACTTCCTCCAAAGTATGAAAGGTTTTGAAAACTAGGTCATTTTAGTCTCCAACGCACTCTCAAATACGTACCATTTCTTCAATAGGGTACTCAATATTCCGCTGTCAGACCTCTTGCACTAAACATTCACATTAATAAATACATTCACTGTCAATATATAAAAAAGGGAACACAACATATATATCAGTACTAAATATAATAAAACAGCTCTATTTCCTTTAAAAATATAAACAGCGGTTCCAAATGCTCGCTGCCGTGCTCAAGTGAAATTCTCATATCGAATGGTATTCCTACAAGGAATAACTGTTTTGCGGGAGCCAAGAGCAGGTTTCATGATGTCTCGACGCTTTGCCTGCTATTTGTTAAAGACAAACGAAACGAACGTGTGTTGTCTGGAAGAGTCGAATTATGATGACCATGGTCTTTTTTGTTGCTTTGCTTACTCGCTCACATAGGAGCCATGGTATTCTTCCCTTCTTACATCGTGAGCATAGTGTTAGAGAAAAATCTTTTGGCAGAACCAACGAAGAAGTTTGTTGTCAAATGAATCTACTCAAAACAGGTTAATTAATTTTCCCCCCGAAGTACCGCACTGATCAACCCGTGTTTCACCGTCATTAGCGTTTGTAGCCTAGCTAACTAATAGATACATCGAAAACAGGCAGCCAAGGTATTAAACGCTATTGTACTGCGGATGAAAATTCAACAAGCTAACCAACAAGGCTTCACGATGTTCTGGGTCGATCGAAGACAAATGATATTTTGCAGTGATAATTAGTGCTAAGAAGGTTTCTCTGCAAAAGTGTGGAAACAAAATCTGTTTTTCTTTCATACTGCTAACAATAAAAATTAAACCGTAATATTACTGATAAACATACAGTAGGAAAGTTGTACAAAGAAAGAAATACACCTACATAAACACACAAAATATGGCCAAGTGATACTGCCAAAGTAGTTCAAATTAATATCGAACTGCTCAATCAGGTGGAAACATTGGCCATTTTTACAGTTTCGTTCTTGTTGGTCAACGGTCCTTAGGAACACAACCCCCAGCCAGATAAAAATTAAAAACACTTGGTTGGACTGTTAATTTTGGTAGGGTAAAAGTGCATCAAGGGGTGGCGTGTCTGGTTAGCCAGACAACTATACCGTTTTCCAAGACGCTCTAACTCAAGGTATCTTTTGAATAAAATCACAACGATACAGTCAACAACAAGCTGTCCTTTAGAACCCACGACGCACTCAGGTAGTCAGTGTACACGAACCGACCGTCCGAGAAGCTCTTGTCCATCAATTGACCCCCAAAGAGTCTAAACTAAACCACAGAAGAAGGATCACCCAAACCTGTGATGGTCGTGGTTGAGAACCTTAGATGGAAGGTACCGGTCAACCGAAACCGGAAATAGAGTGCTTTCTCTACCCTATAAGAAGGCTTTATAACTGGAAGACACAAAACTGCCTTTCCATTATATGGATATGAACTTGACCCTTCTGAACCTGACGAGTATTGCAACCTCTTCGTTGGACAGTGAATAATGTAACAAGTCCATTCATGTAAGATCTTCCTGGTGCTATCCTTGGATAGTACTGGTCGGGTGAGAGGCCACCTAAGGGGTGAGTCTGGACGTTAAAGTGCCAGTCTAACTCATACAAACCTAGAGTGATGAATTGATATTAATTGAAAAAAAAGGATACTTCATTAATGAATTTTTTCAGTATTATTATCAAAATAAAGTTAATTAAAAATATATATTAATATAATAATTAATAACATGATTATTTTAAACTCCTTCTAACAACATCCTCCTTTTCAAGATAAAGCAAGGAAAAAGTTTGGCAGATAGCAATTGAATTTACTTTTTCATCCAGGACATACTGAGGTCCAGATTATTCCTGAAAATAAGTATACATCAAAAGCTATATTTTTCTGTTTTATTCCTCTAAATCAAAAGAGTTCGCAGAACAGAAAAAGTCATTGAGCCGAGTTAAGTTCACAAACATTTAAAAAGCCACAAATGAAACTCTAGAAACTCATTTCCCGAGAGCGGTACAAATTAAGGAAGTCCCGTTTAAATTTGCCCCAAGCCCTCAATCAAATTCTTAGCCTACGCTCTCCTGACTGTTAATGTTGTGGCGTCAAAGTTAAACCAAGTGTTTGTTACTCGGGCTCAAAGGGTCTTAGGTCAACTTGGGACACATTTTAATCACAGGCTCCTTTGAGGCTTTGCCGGCAGGGTTAACTTCTACACAACTTGTGTACGGCCACATCAAATGACCATATGTTCAATTCCAAGAGCTTTCCTAGCCAGTGATCCAATCCATTCTGACCGAAGCCATTAGCCATAGGCTTATGGCACATAATTAACTTTGCACGCCTTTTAACGAATCGGCCAAGACTAAGGAACAAATTAAAGATTTAGTAATGATGAATTAAATACCGAAGAATTTATGTTAAATTGAAAATTGTATGTCTTTCAGATGTGATACACATATGGACGTTTCAACCTTCATGTTTTTATCTGTCAGATCTCAAAAAGAAATCTTCCTTTAAACCTTTATAGAAAATAGTTATACTGTAAAACTAAAATAAATTAATTAAATGATCTTTAAATTTAGTGATTTTCTATTATAATTGTAGAAGTCATAGTTTTATTAAAAATAATTATAATTACAACTATAATAAGTTTCCTTCTTTTCTCTCTAGAGGTACTTTAGATTTTTCATCTCGCGAATTCGAGTCAGGGAAAACAGAAGGCTTAGTAAGGGACAATAAAGAAGAATAAATGCTAACTAAACCGGATTTAAAGTCTTTAAATTCTGAGGTACAGAAATATAAATCTTTTTTCCTACGCGTCTTTCTCACGCTAAACCCTCATTAAATTTATGATTCTCCCCCTTACGTTATTCATTCCTACACCTACCAACAGTTAGTTCACTTGATTAATTAATCTGGCGATTTTGCTGCTTCTAAAGTATTGATAATTTTAGTAATAATTGATTTAAATTTTAGTTTAATGTATGATTAAATATCAACGGATGAACGATTGAAAGGTACATGTTTATAGTCATATTTAGAACATGTAGTTTGGTCGTTTTTGATCATTTTTGCCCACCTATTCTCGCATTTTTGGTCTGTTTTGGATATTTATCATCTTAAGTGTCTGACAGACTAAAATGATGAGAGTATCTGACAAGCTAAAGTAAGTAAATTTCTCTAGTATAATTCTAGTTCCTGTTAGCCCTGAGGTGGGATCTGTGAAATATACCGAAATGTTGAGTGAATGAAATCTCAAGGCTGATCTTGGCGATTTTATGTTTTTATGACTTTAACAGTTTAATACCAACCTTGGAAGTAAAG